CTCTATTGTTATTATACAAGCCCTTTTCTATACCGAGCAGAGAAATATACAAAGCAAATAAGACTCACTGAATGGAACACGTTTGGGGGAAAGTGAAACGAAACCAGTTGGCTTCAGTAAAAAGTGAATTTTGTGTGATATTTGGACTCTGACCTTACAATTTGTGCGTCCATAAGAGATTTATGCTCTTGTATTACTTGTTATGATAATTTTTGTGAGTAATTTCTGTAAATATTCATTTTTTTATTGTAGATTTCTTTAACGATAATCAGTACTACTCTTTTTATGCAACTAGATAATAATAATACAATAATAAGGTTGTACATTGTTGTACCAGCTACCCGCCTCGGATTCTCACGGGTGTACAAGTATTATACATATAAACCTTCATTTTCAATATTCAATCACATTTCAATCACTCTATCTAATGCTAAAAATAGTATTAGAATCTATTGCGTAGTTTAAAAGATCTAAGCGAAAGACAGAGGAAGCGACTTCATATCAAATTATGTTAAGATAATAAGCTTCAAAGTTAAAACCTACTGGTAACGCTGAAAGCGATTACCGTTCAGCATTTATTAATAAAAAATGCATTAAATTAATATTAATATAATAATATCACTATGACAATACACATAGCGCCATGTAGTCCCAAGATAAACAGATCGTGTGTTATAGGTACTAAACAACTGATACTAATACTTCGATACATTTATATTTGTAAATACACATAAAACATACAAAACACCTAGAGCGATACAAACAATCATACTTAGGAATACAAATATTTGTATCGTGCGAGACTTCTAGGTTTTTAGTATGTGTACATATTATGTTTGTATTTATGAAAAAAAAATATCTATGTATTTGCTTCAGTTGTCTATTACCCATAGCTAGCTTAACTTGGGTCTAGATGGTAATTGTCCAGGGTTACTTATTTATTTATTTATTTGTGTAGTACCCATAACAGAAGCTTTAGCTAGCTAGTAAGATTTAGATTCGAAGATTTAAAAAAAACAATTGTCAGTTTACAACATAACAACGTCATCATCATTCAAGTTAAGTTTAACGTAATGTTAATGTAAAGTCTCTTTGTATGGTGTTGAAAGCATTAACAACATGGGTGGCTCAGCTTGGCACTTTCACTCTAATCGATGCGGTTACACCCTGACTTGTATACGCTTTTTCTTAAAGTTGCCATCATTAATGGTGACAAACCACAATGGCAACACTTAATGTTGGTCGTTTAAACAATGTTTGTTTATTGTCATCCATGATGGGGAAGTCATAAATATAGGTTTAAATATTTTTACAAATTTACATATTATGTTTATTAACTAGCTACACGCCTCGGCTTCACCCGGGTGTACATGTATTATACATATAAACCCTCCTCCTGAATCACTCTACCGATTAAAAAAATCGCTTCAAAATCCGTTACGTAGTTTTAAAGATTTAAGCATACATAGTGACGGTCAGACAGCGACAGCGACTTTGTTTTATACTATGTAAGTAATGATTAACACATGCCGATTGTAAAATATCGTCTGTAGGTAAATCAGACTCATCTTCTTCAGCCGCGAAGCCATATGCTTTGAAAGAAAGAAAGAAATTTATTCTCTCTCTATGTATATAGTCTAGCAATACGAGGTCGTCTGTATGAGATTTCTTATAGCGATAAGACTTTTTGTAAAATACTTTTATTATTCTTTGTTTATCTGTGCAATGTGCAAGGTATATCTGTGTGTGTGTGGTTAACAGTTTCTTTGCCATTTCACATAAAAACGAAGATATTTTTTTATTATGGATGAAAAGAAAAATCGATCTTTCCGGAAATAATTATAAGTAGGAACTAATTAACCGGAATAAATTCACTTTCATTCCAAGTTCAAGTTGTATTTTCTCCCATGACAATGAATACCCATCACGGTCTCGTGTTAATGATATAGAAAGTTATCTTCAAACAATGTTAGGTTATTAGGCCATAGCAGTTGTGCGACGAAGTAGAACGGCCAGGGGGTCAGTGAAACGTCTCAAAACTAAGGAATAATGATCAATATTGTGTATTTACTGTGGATCCAGTATATAGTAGTAGTATGTAACTCCAAATAAGGTATAAATTAAAAACTAAAAATTAAAGCTCGTCTGCAGCCACGGTTCTCCTATTCTTACTGCGGCGGCGGGCAAAATCTAAAAATGCCGCCCCCCTAGGACTATCTCCGCCCTCCCCCTCAGGCCAACATTTTTACAATACACATGTTACCTTGTCAAAGATGTATTAATGATTCAAATTTTAAAGGAGAATTAGCCGCACCCAGAACTTGCCGCCCGAGGCATGGACTCCGTGTTGTCCCCCGTCCCCTTAGATGCACTACAGTCCATCAATATCCGAGTTTGTGTGTACCTATTGACAATCTTTTTATAAAACTTTAGTATAATTGTGTACTGTATTATTGTTGACAGTAAATATATTTATTATTATTAAAGCCTCTATTATCTAAATATTATATAACATTTAAATAGCATATACATCTAATATATTTAAAATAGGACATCCGTTGTCTGAATACAATGTGAGGTCCTCACCCAAATATTCGTTTACAGATAATATCCTTTCTTCAATAAGTATTTCTTAATACGTTTTTTAATTTATTAAAAGGTAGATCTAAAATATCTTTTGGTATTTTATAACGTTTTTAAATAAATTTACATGAGACATAAATTTTTAAAAATTTAAATTCGTGCATCTGGTGTTATGTTTTTTTGATGATATAACGTTTTGTTATTTATGTAATATTTCTAGGGAATGTACAAAATTAGCTAACCTTGACCGTCGGATATTCTCATAGTGGTAAACAATAGAACATCCAGTTGTCTAATTACTTCCCAACTCATTATATCATACTGTGTTTGTGTCATACATGAGCGATGTAAGCCTAGTGATAACACGCGACAAATTAAGCTATATGATGCGTTGGAATTATGATTTTATACGACCTAATTTTCAAATCGAAACAGCGATTTTAGCGTATGGGAATAGACAGAACTCACAGCAAAATCTTTATTTGATCTTATATACCGTGTTTCTATTATATGATTCCATCTACATAGAGTCCTAAAATGGTGAACGGTAACTGCGGATTATAGCGGGTTAATATTACGATATTGTCAGTTGAGGTGATGTATATTACATATGATATTGAACTGATACATGTATATTGAAATATCGATCTTATGTACAAAATAACAATAGTAAAATGCAAGGCAGATGTGATAATGACGCGGTTTGTGCAGTGTTTAGTAGACAGTATTTAGTTTATCTTACCAACCTTAATTAATTGCAAGTATTACATTAATTGCAAGTATGTATCTAGGTAACTGTGTCTCATAGATTTTCCCCTCTTGAGAGAAGAAATAAACGAATTAAATAATAATAAATAACCCCGGACAATTAAAATAGAGCCAACTAGTTTCACGGTGAGTAGAGCTTGTATATAGGTACTAGACAACTGATATAAATAATTAGATATTTTTAAATACATACATAATATAAATAGAAAATCCCCAGACTGATACAAACAGTCATACTCATGAATACAATTGTTGCACCGTGCGAGGAGTCGAACTCGAGACCATCGGAAGTAAATTCCTGTGCTAAACCGCTAGACCAACGAGGCCGTCATCAATTAAATATTACTATGATATTATCGCGTCGCATCTGTTCGCATTAGACGCACAGGTAGGACAAACAATAGGTGAAAGAAAATTGAAATGCAAAGTGAATATAAACAATCAATTATATAAAAGACGAAATGATATAACTATTACAGTTACGACTTTTGAATGTGAATGTAGGGGACATTCGCTTCTTGTTGGTATTATTCGAAAAGTGACAGGTATGTAAACAAGAGGTGTGAAAGGCTTTGTATTTTGATTACTGCAGTGATTTTATAATGAATTCCGTTTGCGAGATAGCGATTGGACATATATATTAATAGCTTATACCGCGACATTTTTTAGTCATATTCTTCCTTCTGATCTTATCTGTTTTTACGACAATTTTTATAAAGTTTCGTTCAGCCCTTTAGTATTGAAAATTTAAGAAATAGACAGACATACACTTTTCTAAATTAATATTAGACAAATGACAAATGCTGGTAGTCAATGTATTCTCCCAAATTTAACTTAAAAAATGAATAAGAGCCGAGTTACTAGTCAGGTCTTCTGAGTTCTTAAGCACTTCGAACTGATGGTAAATCTGACATATCATGAGTCTGTAATAGGTCTACATGAATAAAGATATTTTGATTTGATTTCATTGAAGTTACTGCTTACTTTTAGATTTTCTAGAAAATTGTAGAGACGATTTCGCTGATATACCTCTTGCTCTGCGTATAAATTAACTACATAGGTTTATTAGTTCGTAATATTTTTATGTTTTTATTGCATTGTCATCATGTATATCTAATATATTAAATTCTCGTGTTACAGGTTTTGTGTTTATACTACTCCCAAACGACTGAGACTATATTTATAACTATTTTTTATACCCCTAAGTGTTAAGGGTGATAAAATTTTTTTTCATTCATTCGACAATTTTTTTTTATTACGTGGCATTAAAAATACACACAGACTTAAATTTATATACTTCTACCACCAACCCCTATTTTTTAATAGTTATTTCTATTTATATGGTAAAACAACGTTGACAGAGTCAGCTAGTTTATGATTCAAATTCAAATTCAAAAAACATTTATTCATATAGGACATTTCAGCTGTATGAACATAAATTTTTTTATATTTCAATTATTTCCCTATCGTCCAGTTCAGTATACAGATTCAATTATATTTCAATTATATGATTAGAGGCAAATGTCAATGAACTGCGGTCATGATCGTGACCGGGCCGGTCATGACCACAAGTGAAAGTTTTAACTTGACCGTACGTTTATAATTTATGATCGCCTAAAATAGATGCTCATATTGTTTATGTAATTGGAATGGCGAACAAGCTGACAGCATACCTGATGGTAAGTGGTGACCGTCGCGTATTATCAACGGCACTACTGACATCACGTTATCATGTAATATTCTAGACTGTTTAAAGTACTCTTGTATTCCGTAGTAAATAAGTAGTGTAGTGTTTAGTAAATAAGTAACAAGCCTGGAATTTAATATCCGGGATCAGGTACTATTATAAAAAAAAAACCTTTAATATTATGCCTCTTAATTTGTAATTTCACTGTCAATTTAACCGTTAAATTCTTAACATTTCTGTTTAAAAGAGGAAAGGATTCTCTTTTATTGCTAACTCCATATTTTTTTTTTGTATTCATTCTTTTAGTCTACAAACTTCACAGCTTTGAAACTCACTCCCTGAACGCATTCAAACTCTCCAATAAATATACTTTCAATAAAAAAGTTCATGCTCATCTTTTAAGTTTACTATCATTGAACAAGTAATCTATTTATCATATTAAATGATCACAAGTAAACAGCACATTAAATAAATTAATATAATTTTTTTAAGTAATAAGATGATTTCCGCAAAATAAAATCTAATTTGGAAAAAAAGGAACTATCCTCTATTTCTTTTCACAGGACTATTTACACAGTGACATCTAGACCCAATCTAAGAGCTAGTGTTATAACTAGATAACTTATATAGAATTTTTTTGTAAATACATCCATTATATACATTGAAACCGATAGACCGATACAAATAATCGTACTATTTTACGGTAGGAGGAACTGAACTCGCGACCACCGGATACTAAACCTAGATCGCTAGAGAACCGCGGTGTTGAAATATTTTCCTATTGGTAAATTGAATAAGATTTGCAATTTCATCAACCTATATTTTAAGGTGATTTGACAAGAAAATTTCTAGCATTTCTAAAACAGCTATGCCCCACTTTCGTTGTGCGCTTGATTTACAAAGCAATAACTGTGTGCTCAAATAGTTTCCTCCATTTAGAAATGTGGGATAATTGTACGGACACTGTTTTCACGATGTTGCCTATCTGTTTTAAGTCAGACTGTTTATATAAAATAGTCGCCTGCTAGTCGAAAATAGACCGTATTTAATTTCAATTTTAAGTCTCAGGTTTCAATGTTATTAGGGTTATATTGAAAAAGACTATATTATGTGTGTGTATGTCAAATACGTGTCTAATAATAATCCTGGACAAATTAAACATCGCCATCTAGTCCACAGTGACAGACAACTTATATATGGAAAATACTTTTTTTATAAATATATACACAATAAACACCCAGACCGATACAAACAATCATTCTCCTCCATACAATTTTGTGCAGCGTACGAGGAATAAAACCTGTTACTATCGGAAGTAAAGCTGTGTACTGAATTAACTTTATTATTTAAATGTTTTGAACTCATTCTCATATAAACTGTAACTGTATGGATACTCGTCATTTAGTGTAATTTTAATAAAAAGAGGTACAAAGTTTAGCTACTTTAATATATAGAGAGTAGAATGACACATTATTTAATTATCTGTGACAAATTGCGGGAGACATTTCGAAAATTTTAATATAAATTTAATTAACTACAATTAGGGAGAAAGTTTTTCAATTCGACTTACACTAAGTGACCGGATTCCTAGTTAATTAGTTCAAAGTAATTTTAATTAGCAAACACTGTTGTATGATTAGAAAGTCTTTTAACATATATAGAATATAGAGTTTGTAAATGGGGTTTGATTCCCTGTATAATCAATACAGGAAAATATGTTTAGTTTAATTATATTTACATTACTGTTCACTGTATATAAAATTTAAGAAATATTTTATGTACTTATAGATAAATATTGGGGATTTTATACATTTTTTCTGTTTGTAAGAAAATGCTTTATTATATAGGTATAAGGACGCGTTTTGTATAGCGTGCTGTGCGCAATAAACAGTTATATTATCTATTATAGATTCTTTTATTATATATTATTTAGAGTTCTGACCAAAGAATTTTATATAATTATCTATTTCTAATAGATAATTGTATAAAATTCTGTGTATGTATTTAAACATATAATTCGAATTTGTTAATTAACCAATTATATATAAATTAACAAATCATACTCATGAATACAAAAGTATGTGCAGTGCAATGAATCGAACCCAATACCATTGGATGTAACGACTCGAAATAGTCGGAAATTAGATTTTAAATATAATACATAAATTAGAACTACAGCATAATTATTATTAACGTTTAGGAAGTTGTCACATATAACGACTGTTAGAAAATATATTATCAGCCCATGTAATTTGTAATCAAGTTTATAACTTAACTATCCAGTTAATGGTATTCATAGTCCGGTTTGCCTTGCCCCCACGTTCGTGTGGTTTAGACCTATGTTTATTCGCTTAGAATTTAGCACTGTATATATTTATCAGTATGAAAGTCACTTTGTCAAGAGTATACAACCGAAAAACTTACTGATACTGTAGTTCACTCTCTCTACATACCTGAAAAAAGATGTTTGATTTATTAGCTGTCCCGGCAAACAAATATATAGTAGCCGATTCTCAGATCTACTAAATATGCATATAAAATATTTCAGAAAATTTGGTTAAGCCGTTTTGGAGGTATATGTTAATAATAATAATAATAATAAACTCTTTATTGTGCACATATAATACAATAAGAAAAATAGTAAATAAAAAAATAATCACAAAAGGCGGTCTTATCGCTATAGGCAATTTCTTACAGACAACCTGCTAGCAAGCAATAGGACTAAGGTACATAGAAGAGGTAAATGGCACACACAAGACACTATAATTATTAAACGAATAAATAGACATACATATATAGATATATATAAATAAACTTACACACAACATATTGGAAGATTTCAGAAATAAATAGGAAAAAATGAGCTATAGAGACAGATAATGAGACTTTAGACGATATTTAAATATTGCATGAGATTGAGCGGATCGAATGCAGAGTGGTAGTGAGTTCCAGAGACTTTTATATATAACATTACAAATGTTTCAAACAACTATATACTACTAAAACTTATTATTTCATTTAAGACTTCAAAAAGTACAAAACTAATATTGTGTAGATATTAAAAAATGGAGATCTTTGGGGGAGACCTATGTCCAGCGGTGGACGTCATCCGGGCTGCGATGATGAAATGATGATGAGATGAAAGCGTATCACAACTCGATATATGACTAAGTACGAGCGTGCAAGAGTGGGCGCTGCAAATAGCAATGTGTGCACCAGTTATGGTAGAGCTGGAGGGAAAAACTGATCCACTGCAAATAGCTATGAAAGAATTAAAACAAAGTAAAATTCCAATTATCATCAGAAGATACCTTCCAGATCATTCCTATGAAGACTGGAGCATTGATGAACTTATTATAATTGATCATTAAGTTAAAAAATAGTCTTTCTATTTTATAATAATAAAATTTGATATTCATATATAGTACTTAAGTCATGATGATGATGTTGATGATTAAAAAATATGTATATTTATCTCTTGTCTAGTACAATTACATCTAGTATAGTTTTAAAATTTGCACAGCGCCATGTAGTTCCACATAGCTGTGTGTAAATTGTATAACTGATTGAAAAAAATGGTAGAAATGGTTTCAAAGAAACTAAAACATACCATATAGTGACAGGAAACTAAAACTATTCTAGAAGTAATGGGCACGCATTGCTCAATTGTAGTTAGAATAGCGTAAAAGGTATTTCGCAAGGAACGCTATTAGCGAGCCTACATTCAGGTTTTAAGCATCTCAGATATTAGATACCTAATACGGTGTCTAGTATATACATCACATATTTATATAGTACTACCTATGCCCGCGACATCGACCGCGTGGAAGAGTGAGCGTGACCAAATAAAAAAATATATTTATTAATCTAACCCAAAAAACCCAAAGAAAAAAGTTTCATCGTTGTAGCTTTAAAAATTAAGAATTTCCATACGAACTATAATGCCCTATTTTTTTACCCTTAAAGGTTAAAAGGGGTAATTTAAGGGTAATTTTTTGCAAACTTTGTATGCGTTATATATTCGCCATTTTTGCAACATGTTTCTTACAGCTCCGGTGTTATTTATCGTAGCCTGATGTTATATAGCTTATAACATTCGATAAATGGTCTATTGAACACTAAAAGAATTTTCAAAATCGGATTAGTAGTACCGGAAATTACGGCCAATATTTACACTCACAAACTTTAGTACTTTATAACATTGATTCTTTCTTTATTTAATTATTATACTTTGCAGCAATAAGGTACAACATTGTTATGTTCGAAGGCTGTGGGCGAAATGAATGCCCTTGTAACATTTCTAAGAATTTATACAGTTATATAGTACTGTATACATTTAAGTATATAATCAGTGGGTAAGTTATTTATTGATTTGTTTTTCACGATGATGTTCGCAGGTTTGATTCCTCGCACAATATAAAAATAGAATGATTTTTATATGCGATTAAGTTGAAGTCGATTCCAAACATGTCTAATGAAATGATTCTTAGATACAATTTATTAGAGTTTTGTTACACAAAATTTTGTATTAAATTAATATTCTTGTAATTAGACGGATTTTTTACCTAAAATATTTTATGCCCTTTTATAGATACGATAAATAAACTTGGATAATTGACACAGCACCATCTTATCCCACAGTAAGCAAAGCTTGAGTTATGGATACTAGACAACTGATATAAACACTTAGGGTATTATTTTTTTGTAAATACATACATAACACATTGAAAACACTAAGATCGATACAAACAATCGTATTTATGAATGTTTGCACCGTGTGAGAAATTAAATCCGCGACCATTGGAAGTAAAGCGGTGTGCTAACTGCTAGACCACTATTCTATAATTTTGTTTTATACAACTTTTATCCTGACAATTACGAAAAAAAACAAATATTGAATGAAATGTAAGTTTCATATAAAACTTATTCTACATGAGTGTACATTAAATATGTTTAATAATGACAATTGTGGGCGTCATATTACGCGTAACCTCTAGTAATATATACGTAGGCTTCTTAATTATACCCATTGTAAAAGTTAAGGCGTTATTTCTATAAAGACTTCTACAATTAAAATGATAATTAAATCTTTTTGTTTCAAGGTGTTAGTTTTACATATAAAAGATTTCAACGAGCTTAATGTTAAAGAAACGGCTAGTCGTAGGTACGTTGTTTGACATTTTGTAAATGCATGTTTTTATTTATATGTTTACTAGCTACTCGCTCCGGCTTCGCCCGGGTGTACATGTATTATATATAAACCTTCCTCTTGAATCATTCTAGCTGTTAAAAAAAACCGCTTCAAAATCCATTGCGTAGTTTTAAAGACTTAAGCATATATAGGGACGGACAGAGAGCGACAGCGACTTTATTTTATACAATGTAATGATTACACAAAATCATAAGCTAAGAAATCATTTTATATTGTTATGGCACATATATGCAGGTTTATCTATATACAAAACTGCCCAAACAACTCTTGTGGTGTGCCTAAAACTGGCACATCTCATAATAATAACCAAACAGCAAGCACTGAGTCACTAGTAGAATATGCTAGGATTAGTACATTCAAAAGCCTTAATAACAGGCTACTCGAATCAATACTCTAATAGACTATTATTATTGCGTAAAATCAATTTATACATGATAACTAGGGCCCTCATTGGACACAGCAAATTGAATAAACAGATGGCGAAATTAGTCGTTAGATTTACAACAATCTGCAGATTTTGCCAAGCAAAAGACATCCTATGTGGTTGCAGTCCACTCATGTATAAACGAAATATCTCCTTTGGAAAGTTTACACTCTATCCTGAGGAGATAAAAATCATCGCTCATAAAAATATCCCTCAATTTTGTCCCTGTCGGGTCTAGGTAGCGAATTTTGAGCACAATAGATCTATGCAGATCGCAGTGCTACAGGTCCTTGCACCTAACAATGGCCCAAAATCCGTAATAAAAAAAATACCCATTTCTATTGTATTAGTCTAAATAAACTGTAATGTATACTGCTTGTATTTTCTATTCTATTCTATTCTATTGCTTTTTTTATGGACTGTTAATGCTGTTGACCACAGCTGGCCTTTACAGCTTCATCGGACGATAGGGGCGAGTGCAGATGGCACTCCACAGCCGCGGAAGGACTTATGGAGCGGCTGAAGGCCCACTCCGGCTTTAGTCTGAGGGCACCGCTACGGGTCAGTCCATAGGTTAATGTAACCGTTTACGATCAGATGAGCCGTATGCTTGATTATCAACGTCATAGTGTAAAAAAGTATAGTATATCGATAATTAACTTGATGTTAACATGAATGTTTTTTTTATTATCTTTCATCTCTAGCTAACAATTTCATTGTTAAAATAATGAAATGTATCACCGCCTATACATCGCAACGCAAACAAAAGCTCGCCTTGTCCTTCGCACGTCGGATCTGCATACAATACAGAATTGGATCACGTCTGAACACTGCAGCCTTATTATCTTTAGCTGCAGCGGAATTGAACCTGTTATACTTAGATGATAGAGTCGGTGTGACCTCATATTGTAGTTAAAATCACAATTACTTTGTACTACTTTTTATTAAAATTATGTGGATGCAAGTGTATCAAAGGGATATATAATTTTAGGACAATTCACACGGCGTCGTCTTGACCCAAGTTAAGCTAGCTAAAGCTTGTGTTATGAGTACTAGATAACTGATACAAATACATAGATATATTTCATAAAGACATAAATATTAAATATGTATAAAACTCCCAGACAGATACAGTGTGCCGTGCGGGGAGACGAACCCGCGACTATCGGAAGAAAGGCGGTGTGCTCAACCGCTAGACCACCGAGGCTGTATATATACATATATATAGAACCTTAATATATAAATATATATAAGTAATTTATGGCGACGGATGGTAATTGTTATATTAAGAATATCTATACTAATATTATAGAGAAAAACAGAAGCAGCAGACTGTTTTATGAGGAATTAAATTAAACTCCGAAACTCTGGTGCAGGGCACCATATTTTCTATTTCACCATATTTTAATTCTTTCAAAACTGAAATACACAGTATTCTGCAGTAACATAGATTATATATGTTATATAATTATAGTTTTTAAGTTCGAAGTCACTGCCTTTGAGATGAAAATCCGGGTAGTAAACCATTACACCACGACTCTCTACTCTTGTGATATAATATGTGTGAATTGCATTATATACTTAAAAAGGTGAAAAACATTTCACGTATTATCACTAATAGAGTGATAGCGGTAAGTGATAACAGATGCAGAAACTATATTTGTACACGGAATTTAGGGTTGCCAAGTTTAGAATTCAAATATTGAAAAGTACTTATTCAATTAAAGATGTGCTGAATTGACTTTATGGTTATCCTATCATCCTCTACTGGTGCCCCGCCAGCGTAGACCATCAGCGCAGGCAGGTATCATTTCATTATTATCTCCATTCAAATTCAAAATATCTTTATTCATGTAGGTCTATTACAGACTCTTATGATATGTCAAATCTACCGTCAGTTCGGAATGATTTCGAGATGAGAAGAACTGACAAGAAACTCGAACCGTATTTTTTTTTAAATGTTGTACATATTTACAATAATACAATTTCATTTAAATTCTAATTTGGGAGAATAGTGTGACCACCAACATATGCTATTTCAAATGCAAAAATTCTATCAGTGTTCGTAACCCGAACAGATAACAGACAAGCAGCACCCGATCACGAGTATTTATTATGAAAAAAAAAAACCAAATGTATCGTACTCTTATAAAGATTCTACTGCAGTTGGCAACCCTGATGAAAACCTAACAATCGTCTTGAAACGTAACATTACAAGACAGTGTAACAATTGTACAGCTGTTACGGAATTTGAATACTTTTTTCTTATATTCAACTTTCGCCGATAACAGGTCGCGATACTCACTTTCTTCGCATTACGCGGACGGACGCGTTAACGTTATCTTTTGTTTTTCATCGTCACACTAATTATCGGATTACGCAAACCCGTTATGATGCAATATTTGGAACACTTGTTTTAAAGGAATGTTCTCACTATTGAATAACAAGTATTCGGAGTCGCAGTGGTTACTCGGCTAGACTACTTATTACAAGCCGTTGAGTCATAGGTAAGCTTTATTACGTCGTGTCACGTGATTTTTTAGTACTAGTAGTGCCCCTTAATTTCGCCTGCACTTTTATAGACGATAATGGAACGACAACATTTAACTATTTACTTATTATCTCATTTACGGATCTTAACCTATAATTATACAACGTAACTTAAAAGTATATTTGCTGTAATTATTTATGGCTTACATTGAAATGTATAATACTATCATAGAGAATTTATTAAA